TATAATATATATATATATTATATATATATTATACTATACTATATGTCTATATCTCTAAGTAGTACTCATCTAATCTTACACCTCGGAGCACACAAATCTAAGGCTACCATCACACTACATCACCCACCACCACTACGGATAGGAAGATCTTCAGGTGATTTTCTCGCACGATACCTCAGGTGCGAAATCGGTCCCTCACAAACACACACTCTCGTCACGCTCCACAATCCACACACTACACATGCTCTTACACTCACTTAACTCACTTTTACATTCTAATTATTCTTCGTCTATTCACTTACCTCACTTTATCTAACTATTACCCATCATTCTAACTAATAGATAGAGATAGATTTATAATATATATATATAAATATGTGCATATATATAGTTATATATATCTGTACCCCTATATAATGGATTCCTCTTAATTATATATATATATATATATAATATTTATATATATACTCTAAATAACTGCTGCTGGTGTGTGTATTGTCGAATTGCGTGCTTGGTTTCCGCTGTGTGTCTCGTCGTCGTGTGCTGTCGTGCTGCTGCTCTGCGTTCTGTGTGTGTTCGTTCGCTGTGCCTGTCGTGCTGCTGTTACCGTTCGTGCACATTATCCTATCCCTCTTATTGTATACCTGTATAATAAGTTATACCATATTATATATATCAACACTGCTATATCTATACCTATCATATAATATATATATATATAATATAATATGTATAAGTAATCTATATATACATATTGTGTGTGTGTATAACCACACACATAAATATATACATACGTACACCCCTAGCACCACAACACACGCATAGCTCACGACGCGCAACACCAACCTAACACAGAGAGAAACCCTTTCCGAATCATACGGAGGGTAAGCGGGCCAGTAGGCGAAGTGAGGAGAACGCCCGGGTTACCTCGTACTGGGCACGTGATCTTACGGATTCAGTGTACTCGAAGTGCGCCTTCTGCAGTTGCTTATTAGCGGTAGGGTACGAGCGGAACCGGGCAGAGGTTCTGCCCGAGAAGATGGCTCGTGATGTCTCCGTACTCCATCGCCCGCGTAGCCGGCCGTTTATTCCTCCCGCGCAAAAAGCAGGCCACGGTCAGCCGCGAGATTTAGTCGAGGAAGTTGTGGGAGGACGCGGCCGATTAGTAAACGGTGCGGGTAGATGCATGAGGCAAGAGAGATGAGCTGGAGGAGATATGTCCTAGTCCCTAGTGAGCTAAACGAGGACGCAGCGGGCGGAATTGTGACCCGGGCGACGACGCCATGAGAGAAGAGGGCGAGGGACGCGCAGGCAATAGAAACGCGATGTGTGTGAAGGTGTATTTGTATTGGAGTGCGATGTGTGCCCAGGGAATGGACGAGTGTGTATGAGGGTAGAGGCTAGGCCAATAGTAAGGGGAGACCAGAAGGCCTAGAAGAGGTCACGAGCTACCCAAACATACACTCTAGGGAGGCCTTCGTTAGTTGTTAAGCTGTGCACGATGATGAAGTGTGGGAGGAGGGTAGTATAGCAGTCACGATGCGTGATCGCCGCGCGGCGTGCGGTATCGGCAGAAGAGGGGAGGGATGGGCAGAGGGGGCGCGGGAGGGAAGGGGAGGGAGAGGGAGGCACGGAGGGGCCGATGGGGAGGGAGGGACAGGGGGGGAGGGCCACGGACGAAAAAGAAAGAGAAGGGGAGGCCCCGCCCTGCGGTCCGCCTCGCCTCCCTGCCTCCGCGCAAGAGCAAGAAGGACTCCGTGCGATAAGGACGAGGACCATCGAAGACTCAATGGGACGAGAGATACAGGATGGATGGCCTAGCTAGATGATAGTTGGGTGGGAGGGTAAGTCGAGTTGGAGCGAAGGAATATTATAGAAGGGAGTGAGGGTGTTAAATTGGGGAAAGGAAAAGAGGAGGAAGAGGCATGAGAGCGAGATAGGGCAGTGGATCTACCATCAGGGAGCGAGAGGACATGCTCACCAGGACGCGGAGGGGAGGCGAGGAAGAGGCGCGAGAGGAAGGTGGGTGGAGATTCCTGGTCGAAAGGGCGGAGAGAGGGTGTACGTTCTCGAGGTATGTGTTGCCAAGGGAAACCGGGGTAAGTTGTCGTACTGAGCGTGTTGGTTGTATGTTTCCCTTCTTATCCGGTAATGTATGTTGTGATGATTCTTAATGAGTAATATGCATGTTGTTGATTGATTCTTACATGAGATAAACATTTGACTGGGAAGCAGTGATTTGGTTACCGCTATTTCATTATATTAGTGATGGATATGAACACTGAGAGACATGTCAGCACAGTCGGATTTAATACAATACTACATATTTTTGTACGCGACGACTTCTGCTGATGTAAGAGAGCTGTTGCAAGGAAACCACTAAATGAATAACTACTACTACTCGACACGAGACGCAAATCTTTATATGAGCGAACGCCAATCTAATGATGTACCTAATGGATCAGAATAATCTAAACTAATCATGATTATACTCGCTTATATTGCAATACCGCCCAAAACAAACTACACTAAATAAATATAATCGGCCTGCGACATATATCATACACTGTATCTATGTTGATGTGGTTTAATGCCATTGAGCTCAGTAACGAGGAAAAGGCAAGATAAGCATCTCTGTGTAGCGACTAATATGTGAGTGTTGTTCAAGATAAATAATAAACAAACTGAGGTTTCTATTCTACATTAGTTATCGTTTTATGGTATACTACTTGTTTTCCCAGCATGCTTCTGCATGTTGCCCATCGTCATGTCATCATCACCAGTCGTTGTTGCTCGTTTGTCTTTGTTACAAGCTGATCAAGAAATTGGGTTTATCAGTTGATGGGTTTATCAGTAATACAAGTACTCTAGTATTTATGAACTTCCCACATGTTTGATTGATTGATGAGAAGTATCGTAAATCGAAATGACTCTGTAATTCTTCGTTATATGGCTGTAACAGCAGATGAAGCTAGATCCCATATGAGTTTATCTTCAACTTAATGTCTTAAGTGAATGACTTCACTATACAGTTTCTATTCTCCCACTTGAGAAATCGCCGTTGAGAGCAATTTTCACGACACGAAAGGTGGCCAGCATTGTGTACTGTAGATCAGACACCGATTCCCAACTGACAAAGAACTCTGCTGGCTTTAAAAACTCCACAGCCTTGAGGAATGTCGGCGCCATTGGGCTCGAGGAATCGTGCTCCTCATGGCCGCCGCGGGGCTGCAGCCTCACGCGCCTGCTGGTGACGCCGAGCCTCTCTCCGCCTCCACGCCGCAGGGTGTGGGCGGAGGGCGGCGAGCAGTGCCAGACGGGCGCGCGTTGCAGAGTCGCGGGGAGCTACAGAAAGGAGTCAGTTTCACGAGGTCCTTCCAAGCCTCACAACAGTTTCAGCCTAATTAAACCTTGTCAGTGAGCGGGATCGAGAGATGCATGACAGGCCAGGCAGAGCTGGAGTTTGGCATCGTCATTCCTGTTATGGACTACATTATTAGTTCGTTGTGGCTACTGATTTAGTTTCTTGTAAATCACTACTACCAGTAATTACTATGGCCATAAAACTGAATCTGTTATAGTATCCACTGTTGTAAAAACTAGAAGAGAACCTTAGTGTTTAAGTCTTAGACACATAACTTGTTGCTCAACGCATTCGGCGCTGACCAGGATTCCAGGAGGCGCCAAAAGATATTTGAATACCACAAGTGTGTACACAGAAGCATACAAAAGGATACTTACTGCACAACCAGTAGCACAGACTTGCAAGGTCAAAACTTCGTTCATCTGAATACAGAATTTTTACTAAACCTGTTTTGAACTGTTTGCCCTTGACCTGACAATAAAGCCTTGCACTCTGGGAGGTTAGATAAGTTTATGTCATGATATCTGACCGGTATGAAATAGAATGAAAAATATATATCAAAATGGCTTCATCTTCAGAGTGACTTTATTTATTCGCGAATTGAAAATATTGTGCAGTGAGTCTGTCATCCCGGAGAGTGGAGATGGCAGGGAATAGATAATGTAGTGATAGTGAATAGCATTACAATCATGAGCCGTGTGTGGCGGCGGTGTGTATTGGTTTTTTATCAGCTAATAAAAAGTGTCCAGATATTTCTGCGAATCTTAACATATTCTCACCATGGACTTAAAATCACATAGGCTGTTCATCTTGCAATGATCGCTCCATATAGCTCCCCTCTCCCTCCGTCTCCTTGTTTGTTTAGCTCTCTATCTCTAGCTGTTTCATTTTCTCTCTCTCTCTCTTCCTCTCTTTCACCTCTCATCTTCTCTCCCTCCCTCCTTCTTTCTCTGTCTGTCTAATTGTAACCCAGCGGTCTGTATCATATTACTGAGATGTGCATGATATTATCCTTTGTATTTATTGTTATATTCTGCATAATGTACATGATCTTACATACTTCTCATATGTGAATCTTCTCACATGCACTTATACACAAACATATGCATATACAAATGATTATAACTGTTATAAATATTTGTTGTGGGAATCACAATCATAATAATAGTAATATCACTATTATCATGATAATAATAGGAGATATAATAATGATGAAACAATTGTAAAAGCGAGACAAAGAATTAGAGAAGGAGTATGAATAGGAAGAATAGTGGCGCTGATAATATCAACAACAACAGCAATAATAAGGTCGATGTGTAATGCTAAGGATAAAAATGTCTATGATGAAGCAAAGATAAGAATAAGAACAGAAAGAAGCAGCAGCAAAAGACAATAACAATCACAGTCGTGATTAAGGGAACACTAACATGAATAAGGATTATCTTTCATGTCGCTAATGAGGTTCTTATGATATTAATGAAAATATTTAGAAGCAATTACAATCAGCATGAGAATATGGAGAATTACCAATATTTCGGGAACAGCATTAATCATTATAATAATCAGAGTTCTTAAAGTTATTACGAATATGATGGATATGATTCCTGTTCTTATCTTCATTAAGTAGAAGAATAGAAAATAGGAGGATATGATGCTAATCATAGTGTGACTAATGATGAAAGCAAAGATTTGAATGATGTCCATGGTAATAAACATAATGATGTGAATCATTTTATGACTACTAGGAATTATAAGGATGATGCAAATGGCAATGATGATGTTCATGGTTGAACTAACAAGATTTCCCTAAACTTCCTGGCAATATCACCCTGTTTTTTTTTTTTTTTTTTTTTTCATTCCCTGCCCCCGTCCCCCAATTTTTTTTATCATCGTTATCATGATCATTTGAGTGCGTGCCGTCCGAAGGTGTTCTCAGACCAATTGCCCGGAAATAAGTTTTTTAACTGTCTTGTTAATTCAAACTTTCATCTATAATAAAACAATTGTAAACTCATACCAATGCACAAAACCTCATGAGTGTAGTGCATTAACATAAACATATTGATGCTTATGTTGTAGATCAAAGTTTAAATGAACAAAACATTAATGAACATATTTATGGGTAACTGGGGCGAGAACACTTTTTGACGCGTAGACCTTTGTGTATGTTGTGATTATTATTACTACTACTATTACAACTGGTATGATGAATAGTATCAGTTGCAGTTGCTTTGTTTTAATCTCTTTCTCCTCCTCTCTCTCGGGGGGGGGGGGGGGGGCACGTCTCTGGATCAGAGCTCCAGGTTCCCGCCTTTGGTGTGTTGCCAATGCATGATTTTCTGTTCATTTTCTCTGCCTTCAAAGAAACGGAATGAGGTTAATAATAATAAACTTATGAGGTAGACATGCATGTGATGTGCTTGTGCCAGATGTGAGCATAAGAATTGCCGCGTATGCTATTTATCAAATTGCAATATGAAAGGGAGCCAAATAAAATAAATAAATTCATAAAGGTACATGAAAGGACAGGCACTAGGATTGTACAGAAAGTCACAGTTATCAAATATTTACGGAATAAGTTTGTACAACTGGCACCATTGCATTTTTAAATCACAGTAACTCCGTCACTTTCATAAATTCATACATGATATATATATATATATATATATATATATATATATATATATATATATATATATATATATATATATATATATATATATATATATATATATATATAGTATATATATATAATATATATATATATATATAATATATATATATATATATATATATATATATATATATATATATATATATACATATATATATATATATATTATATATATATATATATTATATATATATATATATATATATATATATATATATATATATATATATATATATATATATATATATATATATATATATATATATATATATATATATATATATATATATATATATATATATATATATATATATATATATATATATATATATATATATATATATATTATATATATATATATATATATATATATATATATATATATATATATATATATATATATATATATATATATATATACATACTATGTATAAAAATGCATATAAAGGAAAGAAAAAAATATAGATATCTATTTCATGCTTGTATGAATGTATGTTTTCCTCATTTGTATTCAATATTTCAATTAGCATGAAAATAAACACATTTTGAATATCACGAAAAATTCCTAAATTCTTCTTATTCATTCTTTAAAACTGTTCTTGGCCTCAACTCCACTGACGATATTAAGGGTGAAAATATATTTTTTTCATTGGTCTTTAAATCTACATGTTCCATTTTTCATAAATTTATCTTTTACTATTTGTGACACATTCATCGTTATGCATTTTCTGTTTGCAATATTTTGTCTTCCGGAAATGGGAAAATTAACCCAAGTTTCTCCCTTTTACAGAGTGGACTCCCCTGCACTTCGCCTCTGAAAATGGTCACTTCGCAGTGGCTGAACTCCTGGCCGCCAAGGGAGCGGACCTGGAAGCGAAGGACCAGTATGGTAAGGCAATTTCAGAGACGACGGACGCAGTTGGTCCGGGTTTCTTTCTTTTTTTTTTCTCTTCTTTTATATTCTTATTTCATCTATATTTCTAAGCACCGGTCGTGATGTCATTTTGATGTTCGATAAATTGTAGGTTTCGCTACATTGTTAATGTATTGTTTTTTATAATTATTTTATTATTTATCTTCTTAATTTTTGCTTCTGATTAATTTGCTTGTAATTAATGGATAATTTCGATGACAATTATGTAAGTTATAATGATGAAAGTAATAGGTAGGATAGGGATGGGACGGAGGGAGGATAGGGCGAGGAAAAGGGAGGTAGGACGACGAGAGAAAGGAGTGGGAGAGAAGTAGAGGGTAAAAGAGACGAAGAAAGGAGAAGAGGGAAGGGGAGGGAGGGAGAGAATGGGGGGGTAATAGCAGAGGAGCTCCGCGATTTTTAAAAAATTATTTTATGTTGTTTTTATCAGCAATGGAAAAGAGGAAAGCGCTCTGGCAAAGGATCATTTATTAGTGCATTATATCTAGCAAAATAATGTATAATCAACATGAGTATTACTTACACATATCATAATAGTTGTAATATTTTTTCCGTGGATTCCCTGAAATTCCATCTCATTATTACCACTATCATTTGTTACTATTATCTTATCATCATTTCATCATCATTATAAATAGTGCAATTGATCTTTAGTTCAAGAAAGCAATCTGAAGGGAATATCGAGTATCTGCTGCACTGTTATTTTGTTTTCGTGAAAAAAATAGTTTTAATATCATATCTTTAACCGGTGTAAATTTTCTGAGGTGCAATAGGCAGAAAGAAAGAAAGAAAGAGAGGCGGCATTTAATATTGCATGAATCCTTGTGTTTAGAACCTTTTCCCTCTGGCCCCTTATTCGTATCTCACGTATCTCTCTCTCTTTTCTCTCTCTGTCGCTTCCTTTTACCCTCCGCCCTCGCCTCCCCTTCCCCTTTTCCTCGCATTATCCTCCGCCTTCCTTTTATCTCCATCTTCCTTGCCTCTCCTCCTCCTCCCTCCTTCCTCGCCATGCTCCCTCATCTGTTTATAGTTATTACCAATATTAATGTTACTATTGCTTTTATTTTTTCATCAGTATTTCAAGTCTCTTCATTAGTTGCATTTTGATTGTCAGTAGTTGCTAATAGTAAAGTATGAAATTCTTCTTTATTATGTTCATTTAAATTTACTGGAGTCATTGCTGCCGTTGAAATTACTTTGAGGAAATGCTAATTACAGGCCAAATATAATTAACTCAAATGATCATCACAATGGATATCAACTCTTTCAGTTCGGACCTACGTTCATGTCGGCAGACTTGTCCATCAGTTATTATGTGTAATAAGGTGTTGAATGCATGCACTTCCTCCTTTTTTCGTGAGTGACGGCAAGACACTGCCATTAACTTGATTAATGTGCTTTGGTAATTATACTCAGGAGCTCATTTCCCTCTTGGTCCATTTGTTCAATTGAGGGATTTAGATTTTTGTGCTTCGTTCTTGCAAATGAAGTATGCCATGTTTTCAGGAAAATGGCAATGCAGTACCATGAACTGATGTGAATGAAAATGCGATTGATTGATTAATGTCATGTTTTACTTTAGTTACAGAAAGATTGAAACTATGTAAATTACTAAAAGCAAATCTACCCCAAGAGTTCCTTGAACAATAACACGGAGGGACGCGGTATTCCACGCAAGGCTTTCCTCCTGACGGGACCTGAAGGCACTAGCCTCCCGCTGGGCCGCGAGAGTAGCCATCGGCATTTCCAAACTATTTCGAATTGACAATTACCAGGCTTAATGGTACCATCGCGATATTATATCGTATATTTTAGAAACTGTTGTAACTTTTTCAAAGACCTGCAAACCTAACAGCAGCAGAATGATTGCTTAGGGAAAAAACAAAGTATTAAACGCCCCAATTTTGTTTAATTCGCTTTGTACATAAACAGAGCGGTTGGTTGAAGGGAGCGTGAGGTGGGGCTTTATTTTCCAAGTGGTGGTAGAAATATGATGAAGAAGGTAATATTAATAATAATGATGATAATGATAAGAACAGGAAAATAATGACAATAGTAATAGTATCAAATACAATAATGATAACTACTTAACAATTACTATTATGGTTATAATGACAATATATTCATAAAGATAATAGTAATAGTAATTTTGGAATCTAATATTATTATTATATTATTATAATAATGATAACAGTAGTATTAATATCATTTTTATGATTATTCTTATCATTATTGATATATATTATTAGTATCACTATTGTTGTTGAATTTTTAAATATTGTTATAGTGAATATGGCAATTATCATAACGATATTCATAACGATAATGATAGTAATGGTAATGATGAAAATAGCAATGGAAAGGATGATGATATTAATAATGAAAAGGAGGACATTAATGATTATAATGATAATAGCCATAATAATAATGATAATGTTGACGACGGCAATGATAATAACAATCGAAACAATACCAATACCATTAACACTACAAATAATGATAATGGTAATAATCAAAACGAAATTATGATAATGATAATTAATTGAAATGAAATTATGATAATAATAGTTGATATTAGATTATGATAATGGCAATAATTAAAAAGAAATCATAATAATGATAATGAAGGTAGTAATAACTGCTGGAAGAGGCATAAAAAGAGAAAGGGAGAGGGAGTGAGGCAAAAGAGGCGGAGAGGAGGTGATGCGGTGAATTGAACGGGACTGACGAGGAGGAAATAAACTGTCCTCACTCTTTTTCGTTCCTTTAGCTTTTTGTTGTTTCTCCCTTGTTCCTTCCCACCAGCTCTTTTATCTCTTGTTCCCTACTCCGGTCTCTCCTCTTTCTTCATCACGCTCTTCCCCTTCTTTGTTCCCCTTTTTTATTATTTTCATCATGCTCCTCCCTTATCCCCCCCCTCTTTTACTTTCACTCTCATCCAGTTACTCTGATAACTGGAGTGAAGTGGACAAGATCTAGAAGTAAAAAACTCGTTCGATTTCCAACAACAGCTGACACAGTTTTTCACTCCTTCCATCTACCTTACCTGATATCTCCATCTCTTCCTTCCCATGAGTTCTTTTCTCCCTTCTCTGTCCCCTCTCCCTTCCTCTTGGCCCTTCCTTCGACCTCATCCTTTCCATTCTCCTTCTCCCCTTCCACTTTCTTAATGCTGGATCCTTAGCTTTTCCTCACTGTTGCTGTGAGGAAATTGCTAAAGGCGAAAGTAATTAAACGAGAGAAAAGGGACAGATTGAAGGAAAAAGGATGAATGGAGAACTAAGATAAAAATAGAACTTAAGGCAAAATATCAAATTATTCCTTTATACTACATTTAATCATATTTTTTCGCTCCTCCCCCTTGCCTATCCCTTGTCCCCCTTCTCCCTGCCGCTGGGTCGTCGGCCTTTTCGCACCATGGATGAAGGGGTAAAACTGCCATGGAAGGAGCAAGCAGAAAGCACGAAAGACGAACGAAGTGAGAACATGATGCTGAATGCTCTCACATACCCATGACTGCGCTCAGAAATGCCCATTTAAGGCAGAGTCAGGGAGTACGACGTTTTGGCCCTAATATGCTGAAATTTGATATTTTATGTGCTCTTAATTGCTCTACCAAAATGTTAATTACCAACGCTTACGGATCATCAAAAACTGAAATGATTTTTATCATTGTAATTATTTTACAAACGGTATTCACATCCATGATATTAATCCAATAACTAGGATAATGATAATGGATATTAGTGAGTTTTAATGCCTGTAGTATTAGTACTAATGGTATGACTATCAGTATCGATAGTAATAATTATACTGAGTATAAAAAAGGTAATCATGATGACGATGGTGCTGTGTTTCAGCATTTGTAACATTAATCAACTGAACAAATTCAGATTAAAGCATTGGATAATATGTTCATTTGATATGATTTTAGTCACAATTAATACCATATCAAAGAACATATCATTCAAACTCAAAGCCATTAGTGGTGACGTGGAGACAAGCTTCACGAGAAGAGAGGGTCGTGGCAGCGAATGTATGAAGCTCTTTTATCGAAGCTTAGGCTTCGCTGCTGAAGCAAAAGGCTTCTCAGTAATGAGCAGTGAACGCAAGATTCGCTGTCCAAGCAATGAGCATGAGACTCACAATGAACCAGGAGGAGGGCAGGGAAATTGTGATTTTCAGGGATTTTGGTAATTAACCAAAGATGGGATGCTGATGCAATGTTAAAATTATTATGTAAAGTGTTTTTTTCTTCATTAGTGATGGACATGGGTTATACCTCTATGCGTTTGTTTATCAAACGATGTGACTACTACCAGGTGGTACCTGAGATTTCATCCTTTTTCTTGTTTATTTCTTTCTTATCAGTGAATATTCATGAACACTTGGGCAAGTAAAGGTGTCCCCGAATTCCGAAAAGTTCGCAACCCTTCGCATCCTACGTTCAACCATCATAAAAATTGTTTCCCGGACCCTCACTATAAGTCCCATGCGATTGTGAGCCTTATAGTGATGAGGCAGCGAGCCTTGTGTTCACTGCCAATTCCTAGAGAAGCGCAATGCTTCCACAGTGAAGCCTATGCTCCGATGGTTGAATCTTTTACTCACTTGTTTACAGTGAATTCTCTGTTTACTGCCACGATCTTCTTTATTGGTGAAGTTCTTGTCTCCACATACGCCCAGATGGCTGCGAGTCTAAATAATATTCGTTATAATGACTGAAAGTAATCGGGTAGGATAGGGATAGGACGGAGGTAGGATAGGGCGAGGAAAAGGGAGGTAGGACGACGAGAGAAAGGAGTGGGAGAGGGATAATTTATTTTATGTCGCTTTTATCAGTAATGGAAGAAGAGGATCATTTATTAGTGCCATTATATCCTAACAAAATGTATAACTAATATTAGCGTTACTTGATCATGATCATAATAGCTGTAATGGTATTTTTTGGTCGT